CTCAGTTACATCAGATTAAATCATCCATACATGACACATCAAAGATATTCTCAGTCACATCAGATAAAATAATCCATACGTCACAGCCCTACAGGAAGGGTATGGGGCGGTATATAGATAAGACCTGTGACGTCATGTTTGTATTTTCGGCCAACTGGGTTCAAACACAGGCAAATCCCGAGATTGCATGAATTCACAAGACCCAAGGCGGAAACCTGAACTTGTTCAAGGATAAAACTGCTTGGGAGCAGAAGCTCGAGGAGGGATTTTGACTTACGAACGATAGACTAAAGACACAGAAAGACATTCTAGATAAGACTGTGCTAGAAGTTAAAAGAAAGTGTCTTAGCATTGTAGTAATATGTTTGGTTAGCTGTTAGTAGTTCATATGTGTTTCACGACAGTTGCGGTGGTACAATGTCTTACGTGAGTTGAGATATTTGAGTAATTAGTGTTAGCTGTGCGTGGCGGTGGCGATATTGCCTATCCTGACGCACCCAGTCACTCTCGTTGCGGGCGCCTCACGAATCCTCGTGCAGGGTCTGATGGTAATATAGAAAGAGCGTATCCGAGGTGAGATAAGTTCGGACCTTGGTTTTCATCCATGGGAATGTGCACAGGCGGAAGTGGTGAAGTATAAAGCTCTCCTAGCCTAGTTTTGGACGCGGGTGCTCACCACCTCGGAAGTCAACTGCTATTTTGTAATACCGTACTCCCGTAATAAAGATTTGATGTGTGTGCTCTGTACGCATTTGGCTCGATGTTTTGTTGGATAGTGTGTCTGTCATAAGCCCGTATAATGCACCATAGATAATTAAGATAGATATAGGTCCTTGACAGATAATGGTTGGCTACGTCTTTTGGAATGATAATGTACCGCTCATGATCAGTAGATTGTCCCTGTAATTTAATACAGATTCAAGGTAGATTGAATAATAATAGATAGAATAACAGATGGTAAATTATTTAGTTTTTTTCTCCCAGTGAGTGCATTCATAAGTAGAGTGCAGACATGGTTTAGCTGGTTTCTTAATTTCAGATATGGCTCTTCAGGTGATTTCGTTGACTTGCTGGGATGGTTCCCTTGATTAGGGGCATGGTAGACACAATTAACTGTTAAGATAGGGTATCGTACACACAATCAACTCTTAAAAAGTCAATAGCAATTTCGAGACTTGTGGTGAATCATTGTTAGCACTAGATTGTGATTGTTTCGTTAATAATGTCTTATGTTGGTGTGTAGACTGTGTGTGCTTAGTGGTCATAGCTGAATGTGTTTCATATTTATGCTTAAGCGACGAAAGATCAACATAGACGGTGAAAAGTATTTTTTGTAAACGCACCAACTTGTCAGCAACATAATGTGTAGCTGCATGCCTTTTTGAGAGTCCTAGAATTCCTCGAATATCATCAATATTTGTATCATTGTGTCATTCAACAGGCAGCCGTGGTTCCAGAACTGGAGAGAAGATGAGTTGTGTTATGGTCTTGATTGTGGCATTGGTTGTTGGTTGACCCCTAGTCCTAGGTGTTCCACTGGTTCAAATTGAAGCAAGTGGTGCTGTGCATTGTTTATCTATGACTCTCAGTTATCCTACTGATTACTGCATATTAAGGTGGGTGGTTGGAAAGGGCTAACTGTTTGCTGTCTAAATCTTACGTGTTAGGATAACACTGTTACGTTCAGCTGCACAGAGATCCTTGACTCGCTAGCAACGCATTGTGCTTTCATGTCCACTGTCAAAAGTACCAGATTGCGTAGTTTTGTTTGTAAGTAGTCAGCGTCATTATCGTTGTGCTATCGCGTCAATAAGTGTTGTCTTTAAAGTTCCTTATTGTTTGTTAAGTGGCGTTCTCTGTAGATTATATCACAATTCTCATAGGTGTAATCGGTTTGAGGATTTTTTATACGTTGTACCTGCCGTCACGTTATATTACCTGTTCCAGTGTTGTTTTAAGTACATGTCACCTAACCTTATCTAAAACTGTTAAGGAGTAGTTTTTGGATTCCGAGTCCCATAGTTTTAGCGGTTACCATCCAAATTGCTTTCATAGTTGCTATTATACTGCTGTTCTAATCTGAGCTGTTATCGTCATTTGCAATATTGTTGTTATTACAATTTTGTTGTTGTTCTGACTGATCAACGTAGTTTGCATTGAGATATTATCGGTGATTGCCACTGGTAAATAGTTTGTTCATTGCCTAAAGCGATTTATTATTTTGACAAAAAGTTGTTATCGACTTTTATTTGTTGTGGGATTGCAAAATGTCTAGCCATAGGGATCTAGATTAATAGGGACATACAGCAGATTGCAGAAAGAAAAATGCAAAGTTCCAACAGTCAAGGAAACAAGAAGATGCAGTAATGCAGGTAATATTCCAAGATAGGCTAAAGAGGAAATAAAGTATAAACATAAAATAATGAGGGGAAAGATAAGTTGCTTTATTGCAAGACAGACCACAGAATATTCCAGGTGTGTGACGCCAGTCCATTATCTTAGGCATTTGTGGAAACAATGAAAAGAAGGAGAAATGCTAAGAATAATACTAACATTCCTATTATGACGTTGAATGACTCCATCTGCACATACTGTGATATGCTTCCCAAAAAAGATGAACTTTCCGACAAACACCCATTGTTTCCTGAGAAACTAATATCCAAGATGAATGACATGTTGCTAACAAAGGCTGCCACAAAGCAACGAGCGAAAACGTGCTACCTATGTCAGTTTAAATGGCACTGTCGTGCAGAATGTCCAGGGTTGAAATACGTCAAAGAAAAGGGTAATGAAACTGGGCTATCCTTCGATTAACGGGCACTAAAGATGGCGGCGGAAAATTGCACGCTTCCGGCTACTTAATTTGCGGTCTTCCGGTGACAATGGCTACCGCCACGTGGATTGGGGCTTAACTAGATGGCTAGGACTCACGAGCAGCAGCTTCCACATCTCCTGCAGCTTTGCTCCTGCTCACAATGCTGTGGATGCCGGTTCTTTTCTTGAACTTCTCGAACCGCCGCGGCTTCCCTTAAATACTTCTTCTTCGGCTGTTGATGATCCTGGCGTCTTCTTAACGAGGTCGGCGAAAATCATTTTCGCCTTCTCACAAATGATGTTCTCGTTAATAGTGTCACCTTGCAATTGCTTTTAATTTATCCATATGAGAAGCAACCTATCAACATCGTCAAGAATACGTAACTGTTGCACAGATACTCTTGTTACTCCCTGTGAAGCATCTATCTCCCTAATCTTGTTCTTGTTCTTGAGGATAGTGCAAATCGTTGATGTAAACCGATTGTATGCCACGCTTACACCTCGTTCTCGCTTTTCACTGATTTCATGTTTCATTTGTATGGTTATTTGTAATCTCTTATGGCTGTTTTCTTGCGGCTTTTTATTCGGGGAAATTTTGGCAAGGGTTTCTTAAACTTTTCACACACAAAAATTACAAATCTATTTCCTAATCATCTTCCTAATAATTAATTCAATATACCCCTATCCCTGCCATTCGTTATGTGAAACGTCGCTCGTTAAGCGAGACATTTTTTTTGCGCTTGTTATGCGAATTACTCGTTATGAGAGGTTCTACTTTAAAGGTATCATAAACTGGAAAAAAAAGCTCGGTGGTAACAAAAAATGAAACACCATTTTCTGTTGTCAATAAATACATATTAGATGAGTCAAGACTGTACAGAAGAAACAATAACATATCAATGTGATGAGAGGAAATTTCAGTCGAAAGTTGCAAGTGTGAAAGTTGAATCGCCTTGTCTTTCTAAAGCAATACAGGCGATCCAACATGGATTAATAAGTGCAGATGTTATCATAGCTGAGAAAGAAAACCTAAAAGAGTGCACGTTACTAGACAAGATAGAATGGGAACAGTCCCACTATATACCATGGCTGTGAGAACAGATCCAACCAGAAGTGAAGAAAAGTAAAAAGGTTCACAAGAGTGTTGCTTGTAATGTTGTAACAAGACAACAAGCTGTTAGAGTGAATGATGTGTGTGAGAGAGAATGCATTGGAAAACTTTTAACTGTTATTCCTTCCAGTCAAACAAACCTCAAAGATGAGTTCATCCGGAACCAAAAATGTGACAACTCTAAATGTTTTCAGCCTTTACTTACAGAGAATGAGGAAGTGCTACTCCTCCAAAAAGGTTAGATACCGGTACTGAACCTAAAGATTCCTCTTCAGTCAAACAAATTGTATCCTCTACGATTACTCTACAAATTTCAGAAACAGTAGCACCAATACAGAAAGCTGATTTTAGTCATTTCTGCAATGCACCCCCTGACGCTCCAGGCAGAGGTGAAGAAATTAACCATCACTGAGAGTTAAACATCAACAAGCTCTCAATGAAAACCATTTCATGTATTCTGATCTTGCAGTGCATATTGATTACATGTGCAATTTTATTAATTTTTCACAGAATATGTGCTGTTAAAAAAATACAATGGAGAATGGAGACAAAGAGTGAAATTAAAAAGATGGGAAGGATATGGGGAGAGCTGCATGCAACAGTGAAGGATAGAAAGACTTGGCATGAGTTGGTTGAGGGCCTATGCCTCACTGGAGGAATATATGGCAAAAGAAGAAGACGACACAGAGATGCTGTGAGCTACATCAGATTAAATCATCCATATACGATTAAAGCTGCACACATCAGATTAAATCATCATTGCATGTCATTGATACACAATTTCCAAGATGCATCACCAGATCAAATCTTCCATACCTGACACATCAGAGATGATCTGAGTTATATCAGATTAAATTGATCCACATCAGAGCTTCTCTCACCCATACATGAACAAATCAAAGCTGCTCTCACATCAGATTAAATAATCCATTCACGACATCTCTCAAATTAATGACATTCCCAGAGATAAACAATTTCCTATCAGACATGCTCTCAGTAAAGAAAGCCAAATGTAACAATGCAGATAACAAGACAGGAAATCACAGTAACTGCAAGAAAAGTAAAAGGTTCTTACCGTATCTTTGGCATGTAGGAGTAACTCTTTGTCCTTCTTTGGCAAGGGTTTATCTTTATCCGAAGCTGTGTGCAACAAAGACAAAGACAATAATTAATACATCAATCAAAGACAACACAACAATTAATACAGATACAGGTCTTAACATTAATCAAAGACAACAATTAATACAGATACAGGTCTTAACATCAAATAAAGACAACAATTAATACAGATATAGGTTTTAACATCAAATAAAGACAACAATTAATACAGATACAGGTCTTAACATTATTCAAAGACAACAATTAATACAGATACAGGTCTTAACATTACTCAAAGACAACAAGTAATACAGACACAGGTGTCAATTGCAATCAAAGACAACAATTAATTAAATTCAGACAAACGTCCCAATATCAATCCAAAACAACAATACAGATCTTTACATCAAAGATAATAATTAATATAGATACAGGTCTCCATACAACCAAAGGCAATAATTTATAAAGATACACGACTCAACACAATTAAAGGCAACAATTATTAAAGATACAGGTCTCAACACAATCAGAGACAACAATTAATAAAGATATAGGTTTCAAGATCAATCAAAGACAACAATTAATACAGATATAGGTTTCAAAATCAATCCAGGACAATTAATACTGGATACAGATTTCAACACAATCCAAGACAACAGTTAATATAGACTCATGTCTCAAAACAATCCAAGACAACAATTTATACACATATAGGTCTCAAGATCAATCAGAGACAACAATTAATAAAGATATAGGTCTTAAGATCAATCAGAGACAACAATTAATAAAGATATAGGTCTTAAGATCAATCAGAGACAACAATTAATAAAGATATAGGTTTCAACAGATAGTTCACAGATACATGACAAGACCATGTCTGTTAATGAGAAACTATACCAACAATGTTCCCAGATACAGGTCATAAGCGTGTCTAAATGAGAAATGATGCAAACAATGTTCACAGATAAAGGTCATAAGACGTTAATGAGAAACTAGACCAATGTTCACAGATAAAGGTCAAAAGATACTCTGTATCTTACATCTTCTGTTCAGAAATATATTCCATTTGGAGATGTCTGACCTGGCTGGAACTAGTAACTACTGACACTGCCAATGTCAGAAACCTTACATTTTCTGTTAGAAACAGATTTCATTTGGCAGGAAACTGGTACAAGCTAAGGATGCTGCTTCTAATCTAAATCCACTCAAGATAAATGCACACATGTGCAGCCTTAACAATTGTCTGCTGAGACGCTGTTCCTGCACAACCCAATGGTTTTGAGGCTGGGCATGGTAAAAGAGAAATCTACATGCAAGTGTCAAGCCACCAGTCAAAGTCCTGCACAACCTAATGGCACTGAGGCTGAGCAAGTTGAATGTGAAATCTACATGCAAGTTTTATACAGACAGACAGAACTACAACAGGTTGTTACTCACCAGCTTCTGGCAGTTTCATGGGCTCCTTGGCCAGTTCAAAGGCATATTCTTTCATAATTGCTTCCAAGCCTGCAGCAGCAACTCTATCTTCTCGTTTAGTATCTTCATCAAGCTCATCAGCAGTTTCATCTGTATTGTCTTCCCCATTTTCCTTCTCCTCTTTATCAGCATTCTCCTTCTCTTCTTTCTTGTCTCCATTGTCTGCTGTGTCAGTTTTCACAGCCATGCTTGCTTCTTTCTGCTTCTTGCGATACTCATCCAGCAAAGTCTTGGTTTTCGTGTCAACTTTCACCTGGCGAGGACACAGGCACAAATGAGCAGTTATGTTGAAGATTTAAAAAAAACCACTTATGGAATATATTTTATTTAAGTACATTTGCTTCTGCAACAAAAACTATATGTTCAGCAGATCTTAAATTACAACCTATCTAATGGAACAGCTTGTGTACCATATATATATATATGCCCGGCTTGCTAGCGTAGTTGGTTAAACCTGACTTTGCGGTGACCGGGTGACGAACTCCTTATGGTCCGGGGGTAGGCAGAGAAGCCACATTACTCCCACTTTTACGGTATCTATCATGGAATCAAGGCCGAATGGTTGCGATATCCATAATGCCGAGCATTAGGGATAACAACTCGTAGCTTCTGGATACTTTATATATATATATATATATATATATATATATATATATATATATATATATATATATATATATATATATATATATATATATATATATATATATATATATATATATATATATATATTCTTGTTCAAGGGGTACTTACTAGTTTGCATCACAAGTCAGATACCAAAAATTACCCTCCCCGTTGTAATCTCAAAAACATACCAACTCTGCAGCCAATACCTCCAACTATTATTCCAGCTGCCTATCATTGTCACACATTTCTCTGCTCTTATCAAAAATCATTATTAAATTTCTAGCCACACAGTTTACAATAGTCGCACACCCTCAATGCTCTTATCCGACACATGCTTTACTGATAAAATACTGAATGTAAGATGGGCATATGTGCCCAATTTGTGACCCTTTGCAAAAAAATGTTTGTTCATTTGTTTTCTCCGCGTTTTCTGGATCTCTTAGAGTCACCTGGAGGATTGTAGTCACCAAGAAAACAATGTTGCCATTTTAAAATTTTCTCTCCTTAAGCGCTCTGGTTGCATCAATAATTGCTTGCTGCTCTGCTCTGAAGTTCTTGAGTTTACCAGGAGGCACATGACTTTTCCACTGTGGTCCTACCTTACAGCACGAGGACGAAAACAGCTTCTTTTTTTTCTGTGCGTGTGTGTGTGTGTGTGTGTGTTTTATCTGAAGGTAAGGAATGGACAGTTGTTACATATAATATAAATGCATAATCTAGTCAAGATCACACTGACAGCACCAGACTTAAGGCTTAAATGTAACAACTGCCCTACTATGAAGGTCATTCTTAGTTATCTCAAAAACTAGAGCTGTCAGAAAAAAAACTACATATTTGGAATCAACAATGAGCCTGTCTCTGACAGAATGTCACTCTCTTTATGAAACATCTAAAAACCTATCTTTCTGTAGCCAATTCTGCAGCTCCGTGTGCTTTCACGGCCAGAGTATATCTTTAATGTCCTTCGTGGGGTTCAGCAATGCCTCGTTTCCAGAAACCAGCAACCATCACTGTTCTCTCCAGGCCACCTTTTAGAACACAAAAATGTAAGGCACCCAAATGTGTGTAATCTTACCATTAGTTTCTTGTCTGCAATCTGCCATTCATTCAACAAACGAATGCAGCGCAATGTGGCCTCTGGGTCCTCATATTCACAAAAGCCAAAAGCTGTTGTCAAGAAAACAGAGTTTTATTAAACACAAGTAAAAGATAGCTGTTGAAAAGTGATTTGCAGGGTGTATAACCTCCTAACTAAGTGTCTGATTATGCTTTACTCATATGTGCAAAAGTTCCCTAAGCTGACCTCCTGGCGACTAATCGGGTTCCCTACCTGAGAGTGCTAAATTAACACAGTTCACATAGTCACACCATACCCTTAAAACCGATAGGTCAGGAGCCAACCAAATCAACAATACGAGAAAAGTCATTTCTATAATCATGCATCAGTCTATTTATTGGGATGAAACACAGTATGGCGATGAAAATGATTCGGTGATACAAGACGACTGCTCCACCTATACACACCAATATGCTTTAAAGGCGGTGTTACATTAAAGGGAACACCTAGCCTCGACTTGACGTTGAGTCAATAACATACCCCTTTGGCCTAAAGGCCCACCCTTGGGATCACCGGTAGCCTTAATGAACGCTTCTGTTAAGTGCCTACACTTTGGGTCACCAATAACCTCTACATGATAACTGATTAGAGACTCTGCCCCAGGCACACCAAGTCTCTCGACAAACAGTCGAATCAGAATCTTGACGAGGGACGACACAATCCCGTCCTCGCAGTTGAGCCACAACTCACCGCCCGACTTCTGTCGACCATAGTGGCAAATATCCTGTGGGGCTCTCAACGCCTTGTCTCCACAAAATCCGCACAACAGGGGCATTTCAACACCAAATTCTAATGCACAAGCTAAACTTTCACTGGACTAAAATGAAACACATAATTACTAAACATTCACAGACATCGGGACATGTGTCCGCACTATCAGACCGGCTGAGAGGCACTCATTTGACACCCTCCTGCTCAGCCTTCCCCGCATGGTCCTCGCTAAGCACGTGCAAACCACAGTTAGTCATGAATCTCCAGAAAAACCTCTTTCACAACTTCGTGCATAGCATGCACCTTTTTGCACTCGTCTCTCAGCTCAAGCAACAAGGACCTTTGCCAACATCTTTGTTACCATCATCATCCCCTGCCGTTACGATTGGCTCAGGTGATCATGCCTCTGACCAGCCCAGTGAATACAGCACGCAACAATAGCGTACTGCCTCAAACAATCAACATTTAATGACATCAGATTTTTTGAATTAATCTCTAATGCTGTAAATCTGCAATGGCATGACAGAACAATGGTGCACTATAGATGCCACAGAAAAATCAAAATGCAAGACCATTTCAGAAGGACAGAGCTTTATTTACAGAATTTACCGTTGTACACCGGCAGCTCACATCACTTATTTTAATTGGTGTTACTGTTTGATATGAAATTGACTGTTCTCCAATCTCAGCACTGTGTTAATGTTTGATTACCCTCTAATCTCAGCATCATATTACAGTTTGATTGTTTGACTGTTCTCTGAGCACCATGTTACTGTTTGATTATCTGATTGTTCTCCAATCTCAATACCGTGATAATGTTTGATTACTCTCAAATCTTAGTACTGAGTTAATGTTTGATAATTCTCCAATCTCAGCACTGTGTTATTGTTCGATTACTCTCCAATCCTAGCCTTGTATTACAGTCTGACTGTTTCACCGTTCTCTAATTTCAGCACGGTGTCACTGTTTGATTATCTGACTTTTCTACAGTCTCAGTACTGTGTTACTGTTTGATTATCTTACTGTTCTCCAGTCCCAGCAATGTGTCACTGTTTGATTATCTGACTTTTCTCCAGTCTCAGCACTGTGTGATTATCTGACTTTTCTCCAGTCTCAGCACTGTGCTACTGTTTGATTATCTGATTGTTCTCCAATCTCAGAACCGTGTTACTGTTTATCAATCTCAGCACAGTATCAATGTTTAATTATTTGACAGTTCATCAATCTCAGCACCATGTTAATGTTTGACTGTTCTCCAATCTCATGACCATGTTAATGTTTGATTATCTGACTGTTCTTTAATCTTAGCACTGTGTGACTGTTGTGAAATCTCAGCACTATGTTACTGTCTGATTTTTCTCCAATCTCAGCACTGTGTTACTGTTTGATCTCTCCAATCTCAGCATCATGCTACGGTTTCAAAATTCTTCAAAATCTCAGCACCAAGTAAATGTTTGAATATTCCCAAAACGAGTACCTTGTTCATTGTTAATGACTGATTATTCTCCTATGCCAGCACCATGATAATGTTTGAAATCTCCAATCTTAGCACAGCGTTTATGTTTGATTGGTCCCAAATCTCAGCACTGTATTACTGTTTGATTATCTGATTGCTATCCAATCTCAGCACTACCTCAATGATTGAAAATTCTCCACAATGTGTGAATATTCTTCAAATGAGCACCGTGTTAATGACTGAATGTTCTCCAAATGAGCACCGTGTTAAAGACTGATTATTCTCCTCAATCTCAAAACTATGTTACTGTTTGACTTTTCTCCAATCTCAACACTATATTAATGTCTGACAGTTGACCAATCTCAGAAATGTGCTGTTGTTTGATTTTCTCTAATCTCAGCACCCTGTTACTATGTAATTTTCTTTAATCTCAGCTCTGTGTTACAGTTTAATTTTCTTCAACCTAGGGCTGTACTGAATAGTGATTTTCACTATTCAGCCGAATACGAATAACGGGACCAACTTTTCGGCCGAAGACGAATAGTGTATAGTGTATTAAAATATATCTTTAAAAAACCCAATTCATAATGTCAAATGTACGCTGAACTTTTACTTCACATAAAGTAGCACAAAATAGTAATTTTTCTTCTTTAGCATTCTGAGCCCTTGAGGTTTACTGATGGAGATATCACTCGTCTCCATTCATTTCTATGGCTGGACATTATCTCTCGATCTTCTTTTTTGTCTGCCTCGCGGTCTACGCCCATTCCTCTCTCAGGTGTATACAGTTTTACTTCTGTCATCTGACATTCTTTCAATATGCCCCAACCATTTTAGTCTGTTAGCTCTCATGATGCCAGTGATCAATAGTGATTTAAACAGATTATGTGTTACGTTGTTGCTTCTCACTCTCCATTCCCGTGGTTAGTTAGCATCTTTGATAGGTCCAAAGATTTGTCGTTAGGATGTTTTTAAAAACCTGTAATAAAGTCTCATCGTTTTTTTTTCTGCTTCGTTTCAGAGCCATATAGCACGACTAGTCTAACCAACGCTTTTTTGTCTTGCGAGATAGACACTTTGACTTTAGCAGATTTTGAAGGGCATAATATACTTTTTTTCTAGATTGTATTCTAGATTGTATTTCTTCTATCAGCATGTTGGAGCAGTTGAAGTTTGCACCCAAATACTTATGTTACCGTTCGTTTGATTTTCATATTATCGACTTGGATGTGGCCGGAGTTTATATTCTCTCCATGTCTAGTTAGTATTCGTACAGAATAGTAAACATTTAAAAACATTTTATGTTTTGCATCCTTCAGTCAGTCTGTGGTAACTAATAACCAGGACTGAAAGAATCCTAAGTATTAAAACAAGTAACTAAACTTGGAAATTATCACTGACAGTTTTGTTAATGCCTGAAAGGTGCAATAGCTTTTAACAAAACCAATCGTTCAATGTTGGCAGTATTAAGGCCGTATATGCAGTAGCGGGTGTAAGGTAACTATTCGTATTCGGCCGAATACTGAATAGTCAATAGGTCCACTATTTGGCCCCGAAGCAAATATTCGGTACAGCCCTACTTCAACCTCAATACTGTGTTACTGTGTGATTGTTCTAAAATCTCAGCACTGTGTTCCTGTCTGACCTTTTTTTTTTACTGTTCTTTAATCTCAACATTGAGTTACTGTTTGACTGTTGACTGGTTTCCAATATCAGCACTGATTTTTCTCAAGTCTCTGCGCCTATGCTGGTACCTATTAGGTCACGTTGGCATGTGTCTTTATAACATAAGAGTTCTTTTAAGTCTATTCCCTGTATCCAGTTCTCAATACAGAAGGTCCTTTGGAATAAAGCCATCCGCCATGCGGGAGACATGTCCCAGCCAGCGCAGACCTCTTTGCTTCAGTAGATAGCACACTGATGGTATTTTTGCTTTTCTAAGTAAACATTTGTTGCAGACATAGTCTCACCATGTTATACCAAGGTTGTGCCTCACAGAGTGCATGTGGAAGGTATTTAATCTCTTTTCTTGACATGCATAAAGAGTCCATGATTCGCTACCGTACAGTAGCATGCTCAAGACACAAGACTCAAAAACTTTCATTTTGGTATCATCGGTCAGCTTTTTGTTTGACCAGACTCTCTTGGCGAGAATTGAAAAAATACAGAGGCCTTTCCTATACGACTATTTTTGTCTGTATCTAGGGAATGACTGCTTAAGATTTGTGAGCCTGGGTACTCATGTACAGCCAACAGCTGATCGTCATAAACACAAATGTTAGGAGGGTTTTCAATATTCATTCCCACCACGTGGGTTTTGTTGAGACTGATTGTAAGCCCACATTTATTGCATGCGCTTACAAAGCAATTTATGAGGAACTGCAGATCAGTAACTGATTGTGCCGTGATGGCTGCTTCATCTGCAAAAAGAAAATCCCTGAGACATTTTGCATGCACATTCGTCCTTGCACGTAACCTAGACATCAGCGACCCATAAAGTTTGGTATCAACACAATTAACTCATGATGTTCTTGTATCCACACAATTAACTCCTGATGCCATTTATAGGCTGTATAGTTCTGATTCAACTACACACGTGACTGCCAGTTCAGTTTTATTCTCATGTTTTCTCCAAAAATCTACAGATAATTTTTGACAATGTAAAGCATTCACAATGAAAAATACTGTGCCGCAAATATCAATTATGCGGAAGTGACACGAGAAAGAATAATAAAACAGAAACTGGCTACAAACGTCTAGCAGGATCTGCAACTATCAAGCAATTCTTCAAATCACAACCACCCGTTGGTAGTGAGACAAGAACAAACAAAAACAATCACAGACCTTGTAATTTTCCTGAAGCACCTTGCACTCGCTTCCAGCCGATGACATTGCCACACCTCTGCAGCATCTGTTTGATCATCATGTCTGGGGCTCGTTCACTGATGTTGCCTACAAACACTGTTGTCACTGGTGGTTTGTCTTCTTTTGTGTCCATCTAAACAAACATGGCATAAATTATACAACAGGAAAGAACTGTGCAATGTTTTGTGTCCATGTGAGTAAAGATGGCATGATCTATTACAGTTCAACTAAGTTTATTTAAGGGCCAAAATGCCGAAAATGGGGATAGTTGCGGGCCAGTTATTATCAACACAACTGACATTATAACTTTAAAAAACTCTTAAACTGTTACTTCTAGAGCCTAGCCTATGGTAATATAAATGAAACAGTGTTGTAAACCATTATAATGTAAAGTGTACAACTGACAACAATCTTTAATAACAATTAGTTCATACTACTTTTAACTGAAATACACGTATATCTAACTTACCGTTGGAATTATAAATAAACGTTAGCATTGTCACTTTAACTTTCCTTATCAAATTAATAATAATAATAACTGTCCACAGTCTGTTTCATATGGCTTTGTGCAGAAGATACCAAAAGTTAAAATGATGCAAAATATAATTAATGGACAAAGTTGCACTTCCGATTTTGAGCTAATGGTGTAAAGTCAGTGAAATTTGCATATAATCTGCTTCCGTTTCTTCAAGTATTGCTAAAATAACTGTGCTCAAGACGATAACGATTGAATGAAATGTAGTATTTTCATCACCAATTCATTGTTTTTTTCCTATCATCCCTCAGTCTGCTGCACAGAACACTTTGATGGATAAGATAATGCAGCTACTGCAATGAGGCGCTACTGCAGAGAGTCGGGTGGTCACACCTTAGTGCTTAATTAACACTGATAGAGCCCAAGCCATTATCAATAAACTAATTTTATTCAAATCAAGTGCATTTTCTGTTAAAAATATTTTATTCATCTTGTCAGAAATAATGTCTCCAGTTGTGAAATTTTCTAATGCTGCTAAAGCTAGCAGTTCTTCACCAAAACCTATTTCCTCAGGGGAAAAAATGCTCATTCAAACATAACTGAGCCATGTCTATGATGTTGTAGATTGTCAATGGCAACTGACAAACATCATGATTGCATTAGGCTCTCAATTAAAGATTCAAATACTTCAGTTCCTAAAATTTCTATTCTGCATATCGCTGAACTGCATGTGCCACCCTTGTTTTTATTTTATAGTCAACTGCTATTTCATCCAGATTTACCAGTATGCAACCTTTGATTTCCAAGCAGCCAAAACTTTTGGATATGATTTTTCAAAATCTGAAAGTTTCCTTGTAAAACACCGCTCCACATTGTATTTCTTCACTGTCGATATACATTCACTGCATAGCAAGCACAACGAGACAGTTCTGAAACTTCCGGTAAAAATGGACGCTAGGCAGTGGCAGTGTTTCGAACCGAGGCAAATTTTTTGTTTCTGCCGGACGGTGGCCGATGCATTTTTGCTCCATTTGTAGACTGGATATAGTTTCATCGCTCAGCTTCTGAGTTTAATGCATGGCGTGACACTGTAAGCTGCAGATTTCATTTGGAATGTTTTTTTTTACTGTGACCAACGTAGTGGTGTGAATTTTAGTTCAGAAAATGGTGCGATGATTGTCGTCGCAATGTTGGTGGTGCCCGTATGTGATTAAAATTGATCGCGTGGGCAACTGCTGATCTGTTGGTGACTTCTGCTACCATCAATGATGAACTACATTTATAATCTTGGACTTTTTTGTGTTAGCACTTAGGATGGCTACCGTATGCTTTAATGCGTGTGTATGCTAGATATGCTGAGACAGCAGTCTGTAAATCTTTCCACAAGGGACTGTGATAAACATTCTGTGTGTTTTTCATTGGCACCGGAGCGGAGCAAGGTGGGGGTGACCTGTTTGCTATGAAGTTGAAACTAAGACTACCAGTAAGCACAATGGTTTCGAATTAGGCACAGTTGGGGATATAAATATTTCTGTGTCCAGTCATTGCTGAATGCACAATTTTCACATTCCCACTTTGCTCTCTTACTAGCCATTTAACTGAACTATTAAAATTTAGAGAGCATAAAACACTGTTACTGTTTTAGTTTGTTAGCACACAATTACATCTGACAGTCTATTTTTGGTTGTGACATTTGTGTGACTGGACCTTGACAAAAATGTGATTATAATCTGATAACAAGATCACTAGCAGATGTTCTGCAATGTCCATTGTCACTAATGTTGTGCAGCACCCAGTGTCATCAGTCTGCAGGTACTAGTGGCCACCATTTCAGGGAGCTTCTCAGTAATCTAAGTGCTATCAGGGCTGTGATGGTATTTTCACATGCCCTCCTGTCCAATAAATATCTCACCTTTGCTGACCATCTAGTAAAGCAGTTGCTTTCCTGCCCGTTACTGGATTCTCTCCATCCTATCGCATTACCTTTGGCCCCCAACAAATGAGTTCTGCTATTTGAACTAACCACGTCTGGCATTGGTAGCATAAGTTGGGAATGAATATGATATGCGCGAAATCTGCTGACTGGAATTGCCTAGCCACCAGTTGAATAGCCCTCATCTATTACAACAGGTAGGAGTTATGGAATGTTTTGTGTCCACCTGTGCAAATATGACATGATCTATTACAACAGGGAGGAGTTGTGTAATATTTAGTGTCTTAGTTAGTCGACAGATTATCCTCATTGCACGTCAAACCACTCAGTCCACAAGTGCTCGGATCCCCTCCTCAGTAAATCCCGCAGTGTGTAGCAGCTAACGACACCAGTTCTGTGTTGGTTTATTCTTCTTTGACTACCCGTGAAGTGTTCTTGTTTAAAAACACCCTGTTTAACATGTTCTTGCAGTCTGATCATGGTTGCAGATTTACAGTTCTCAGTTGGTACACGCAAATGTCTTTATTTTAGAGCATTCAGTATATCAGCCTGGTCCATGGTTTGTCCAGCTTTACAGTAGTTCCTTGTACCCCCACATGTCATGGCACGAAAATAAAACTAATCCTTGTCAGTCGTGAATTCTGAAGATCCACCAACTACTGCCTTCGGATCCAGCTCTTCTCTTCTTGAGCATACTCATCGAATCACTGAGAAAGAATGCCCCAGTGAACGCTGCAAAAGCTTCAGAATCTTCTTTCACAACTCATCCTCCAAACTGAGCCGTGAAAGCCCATGAGCTTCTAACGTAGCGGATTACAGAACCATCTGCAAACAGAAAAATATGTACAGCACTCTGAAGGCACTTGCACCCACTCCTTGCCGGGTTCTATGTCTTCAAGTGAACATACCTGTAAAATAATGTCCTCGGCTTGACCCATCCACGATGTGCCTCTTTTTAACCTGCTGCCTTTTATCTTCTTGATTTGACTATGTAATGGATGTTGTGTGTCCGCCTTGAGTGTGAGGAAGGCACAAGCTCGGGAAATTTGTATTCTGTTTCCCATGGTTGGAAAATTCAGAAGGTAGCGCATAGCCCTACATGCTGCATCTCTTGTACACCCAAGTATAATGCGCATAGCCTCGTTCTGTATCCTTTCCATCTGTTTATGGCTGAGAGTCAGGATCGCCATCGTGTATTCAGAAACAGAAAGGACCAGACTCTGGTATAGAAGACGTAGATGACACTGCTCACAGTTTGCTGTTGCCATCACTCTCATCGCAGCCAGACCCTGTTTGGCTTTCATTATAATCTGATCTATGTGCTCAGTATAAGCAAGGCTACGGTCAAAATGTATACCCAGGTATTTCATTGCATTCGTTCTTTTCACATCCTCAAAACACAAGACTAACAACTGGTGTAGGAGTTTTTACAATATGGTTATTCAAAGAGAACCATGTCACTGCCACTTTTTTTTGGATGTCATTTAGGCCCATAGTTGAGCCTTCCCTGATAATGGCTCTACAGAGCCTCAATTGGTCTTTCCTGTTTTCTTTTCCCTTCCAGTGTCCATATGAGGGCTTAATGGAAAAGTATTTTGTCTTATCCATTCTGAGTGCGTGAAAATGTAGTTTAAAAGTAGGACGTCCTTGAGGTCATGGTCATGTCTGTAGTTGTGCAATACTGTGTGCCTATCTGAGCAAACATGACATGATTTATTACTTAGGGCTATGGACAAGTGGACATGCAACACATGTTGATATCAACATTTCCCAGGGTTATGTCCATGCAACAAACGTTGACGTCAGTATTACCCAGGGTTGTGTTCACGCAACATATGCTGATGTCAGTCATGTTCATGGAACACATGTTGATGTCAACATTACCCAGGGTCATGTACATGCTACATATGTTGAGTCAACATTACCCAGGGTCGTACACATGCCACATATGTTGAGTCAACATTACCCAGGGTCGTGTACATGCCACATATGTTGAGTCAACATTACCCAGGATCGTGTACATGCCACATATGTTGAGTCAACATTACCCAGGGTCGTGTACATGCAACATATGTTGAGTCACCATTAATTACCCTAGCTGAGGGTCACAGGCAAGTGTCCATTTTCTCATATATCATACTATTTCTATGTGGTCAGCATAATCAAGAAACATACATGCATGATACAAAAAAGTTTCTACAAACACACTTGACACACTATGCCCCCACATCACTGAAATAAACTGGCCAAAATTCATTGTACATGTGTACGTTTTGTGAAACTGTAATACGTAATTACCTTTGGAATCTCTTGGGGAACTAGCTTTTTATTTTGCTTCAGCTGCTGCTGCTGTTGCATTTGTTGCATTTGTGGGAGCTGAGGAGCCATCATGTTCACAGGTCTCATCATCTAAATCATAAAATATAGTGCACTGAGACAATCACATGTCTCATCATCTAAATCATAAAATATAGTGCACTGAGACAATCACATGTCTCATCATCTAAATCATAAAATATAGTGCACTGAGACAATCACAGGTCTCGTCTAAATCATAAAATATAGTACACTGAGACAATCACAGGTCTCATCTAAATCATAAAATATAGTGCACTGAGACAATCACAGGTCTCATCATCTAAATCATAAAATATAGTGCACTGAGACAATCACAGGTCTCATCATCTAAATCATAAAATATAGTGCACTGAGACAACCACATGTCTCATCATCTAAATCATAAAATATAGTGCACTGAGACAATCACATGTCTCATCTAAATCATAAAATATAGTGCACTGAGACAATCACATGTCTCATCATCTAAATCATAAAATATAGTGCACTGAGACAATCACATGTCTCACCATCTAAATCATAAAACATAATGCACTGAGACAATCACAGGTCGCATCATCTAAATCATAAAATATAGTGCACTGAGACAATCACAGGTCTCATCATCTAAATCATAAAATATAGTGCACTGAGACAATCACAAGTTTCATCGTCTAAATCATAAAATATAGTGCACTGAGACAATCACAGGTTTCATCATCTAAATCATAAAATATAGTGCACTGAGACAATCACAGGTCTCATGGTCTAAATCATAAAATATAGTGCACTGAGACAATCACAGGTTTCATAGTCTAAATATAAAATATAGTGCACTGAGACAATCTCATGTCCCCTCGTCTAAATCATAAAACATAGTGCACAGAGTTCAGGGGACAGTCAAGCATTACTATTAGACCTGTGTCAACAATCTATTCCCCAAGAGCCATTGGAAAACAATATTGAACTGATGGTGAAAAAGCAGGACGTTGTGAATAATACACAAAGTAAAACCAACGAAACTGTTAGAATAACAACAACAGTTCATATCGCACAATTTATTGCCTGGCATATTTCGCCAGGTGCATACTACAGTAACAATTACATAAATCAAGAAAAGATATAGAACCGAACGAAATGTTTAACAGCGAGCTTCACTATATAAAACAAACAAAACGTGGACAGTGCGGCTATGGAGCCTTCTTTAGCACATACATAGAATAGACAATACTACACAAATACACAATATCAGTGGTCTTTATATCTCGTGGCAGCCAGGTCAATGTCAAGACAATAGTCTGGCGAGGCACGTGGGGCCATGAGAACTGATATCTAGGGATATGACAGGGGCCTTCATTTGAGAATAAGAAAGTAAAGTTGTAACCAGTTGTAACTTACAATTTTCTGTTCAAAACGTCCAAACTGAAGTAACCACTAGAAGTATAATCTGTTACACACACTTGAAAAGTACAAACAGTTAATCTAAATATTCTCCATATCTCTTCTTTTCTTTCACCATACTTATTTGCCTTCAGTGCCAATAACCGCACCCAAATCTTCCACCATCCCCCCCCCCTCCCTTTGACTATTCAGAGCCCATCGGTCTTAGTTACAGGAGCGAAGGGACAGGACGTGTTTTTCTCGCTATCATCATTTTAGATTTTTTTTAGCCCTGTTGCATTGGATATCTGAGGATAATTTTTATATCACTGTGACCGTTGTTCCGCCGGGCTTACTATGAAATAGTTTTTGTGTAACTTTGCAGATCAATATTCGTTAAAAATGGAATATAGTGTTTTATAATAGGTTTTCTGCAACGGAAGCCTCTGTTGCAAACGGGGCACAAACAGGCCCGATTGTGTTTCACCTGGCCCCATGGATTTGTAGCATTTTAGTAATTGTCCTGTGGGCGTACACACGGTGGCATACAACTGGACTGGTGAAGCGCTGCCACGCCAACACAGGATGCCGTTCAAAATTTAATTAGGTATTTTCCCCGGGTAGGTGGGACTCAATAGCTGGGGACAGCGGCCCACCTATGAGAAGGATACTCTGAAACTAAACTACCACTGCCCGGTGGTCAGGCCTTGGTTGGTTACGGGCTAAGGAAGCACATCCTGAAAGAAAAGCACGTTGAAGACGGAGACGCCAGGTCGAAAGGCACAGATAGTGTGGGAGAATATTTTCCCACAAACATGACGTCACGCATACCTTCTTGAATGTCAGAAAACCCTAGCAGGAATGAAGACTGTGGAGTTTAATCTTTAACACTTCAGTGAAACCATATCACTCCCTACCTTAAAAGTGGCAACTGTACAATGTCACCACTCACAAAGCTAGAGAAACAGCCTAGATAATATATCTATCAGAGGGACAAGATGGACGAAGAAGACGTGTGCGCTCTGAGGATTCTACAATGGAATGCAGAGGGAGTCCGCAACAAAAAGGCTGCACTCAAAAAACAACTTACAGAAGGAAATATTGACATTGCCTGTATACAGGAGACACACCTGTCAGATAAGCACAGATTCTGTATTAGAAGCTTCCAGTGCTTCAGACAGGACAGAGAAAATAGTCCCGAGGGAGGAGTCCTCATCCTAGTAAAAAAAACAGCATCCCAGCAGCTAGTCTTACAGTGAACACAGAACAGGAGTCTGAGATCATGGGTGTCAGGCTTAACATTGCAGGCAAAGAAATTGTTTTATACAATTGCTACTGTCCGCCAAGCAAAGAACTCTCGTTATACAACATGAGAATCCCAGATAACAATTGCACCGTTCTAGGAGATTTTAACAGCTGCTCTCCAAGCTGGGGATATTCACAGCTCAACGAGAGAGGAGAAGAAGTGGAGGACTGGCAGACATATGCCAGACTCCAGCTAATCAACAAACCAGATGACTCCCCATCTTTTTTCTCCAGGAGATGGCTTTCAACCAGCCGCCCAGACTTAACATTTGCCACGTCAGACTTGGCAAGCAACATACACAAAACGGGGCTCAGCCAACTAGCAGGTAGTGACCACCGACCGATCCTGATTTCTGTTCTAAATATGAGAGGCCTTCATTCGATGCCGCCCCCTCGTTGGAATTACAAGAAAGCTGACTGGAACAGTTTTGCTACCCTTGCTGATGTATACTCGATAAATGTAAACGGCAAATCAAGTCAGGTTGCTAAATCAGTAAAAGAGTTTACAGAAGCTATTTTAAAAGCAGCCAAAGAAACCATACCTCGGGGTTCAAGGAAAGATTACATCCCATTTTGGTCCCAACAAATTCAAGACCTCCACCAAACTCTCTCAGAAGCAAGAGATAGAATAGAAAGCAACCCAACGGTAGAAAACAACATTGCTTACAAAGCAGCAGAAGCTAAGCTAAAAAAAGAAACAATCCAAGCAATTAGGAAGAGCTGGCAAGACAAAACCAAGAGCCTAAGTTTTGAAAAAGATGGGTCCAAACTCTGGAAACTTGTCAAATGTCTAAATGGAGAAGCCCAACAAGCCAATCCAGTAGTAATAAATGAGGGCAATGAGATCAGATCTGGAAACGATGCTGCAAATATCCTTTTAAATCAGTTTAAATCTGTTAGTGATTTTAATAAAGAAAAGTCTAGAGAAGATGAGGTACTACAAAGAATTAAAGAACTCGAGGAAGCCAGCAAGAGTAAACCAGCAGAGAGCATCATGACAGATAAATTCTCAATGAGTGAACTTAACACAGGACTCAACCAGCTGAAATCCAACCAAGCTCCAGGCCCCGATAAAATCACGAATGATATGTTACTACACATGGGTCCAAGTGCCAAAAAGAAATTATTAAACATCTTTAATGCCAGCTGGATTTTTAGTATAGTTCCTCCAGCCTGGAGGAAGTCTGAAATCTTCGTAATCCTGAAACAAGGAAAGCCGAAGAACAACGCAGACAGCTACAGACCCATCAGCCTCACTAGCTGTCTGTGAAAACTATTTGAAAGATTATTGAACAACCGACTGACCTGGTTCCTAGAGAAAAACTTCAAACTAATTGAAGAACAGGCAGGTTTTCGACGTTGTAGATTAACAGAAGACCAAATTACATCTATTGCTCAACACATTGAAGATGCATTCCAGGAAAAAAAGCATACTATTGCAGTCTGGGTGGATATGGAAAAGGCCTTCGACAAAGTGTGGAAAAATGGGCTGAAACAGAAGCTATTGAAAGTGGAATATCCCATCACATGCTTGGGTGGATCGTAAAATATCTTGAAAATCGATCTGCAAGAGTCAAGTTACAGGGTTCAAGGAGCAGATCAGTCTCAATGAAACATGGAGTTCCACAAGGTGGAGTTCTGTCCCCAATTCTTTTCCTAGTTTACATTAACGACATAAAATCAACCCTCTGTAATGGAGTTCAAGCCGTTATGTATGCCGATGATCTGACGCTACTGAGTTCAGAGGAGGACACTGAAAAAGCATAGACAAGGCTTCAAGAATCCCTCGGAACTATAGAGAGGTGGTCCAATAGCTGGTACATGAATGTAAATGGACCAAAACCACACAAACCATTTTCAGTCTCTTTACCAAACCCCAGAAAGTTTCACTTAGATATGGCAGCCAGGCACTGATACATGATGACTCACCGTCATATTTAGGAGTAACCTTTGACTCAAGACTCACATGGAGAAAACATAGAAAAGACACAGAGCAAGGGACTCAAGAGAACACAACTGATGAGGAAGTTGGCTGGAACAGACTGGGGGGAAAACCTCAATGTCCTTAAGAGGACCTATACAGGCTATGTGAGGCCAACACTAGAATATGGAATAGCTGCTTGGGGCACAGCAGCTAAATCAAATTTTCAGAATATCTCAAAGATCCAAAACCATGCTCTCCGTATTATGACAGCGGCAATGCGCTCCACGCCCATATCAGATATGGAAACAATTACTGGTCTCCATAGTCTGGAAGATAGGAAAGACACAAAACTCATCACCCAGCTCTCCAAATACCACCACTTTCAAGAACAACCCATGTACAGACGACTGCAGAAACCTCAGAAGGCTAGACTAAAGAGAACCTGTTTTATTAAAAACGCAAATACAAACTCGCCGTCCTTAAACTCCCTCCCATAATACCAAATGTTCCACTTAAACCTTACAACGACTGCCCTTCTTGGCTTAGGGATAGCCTACCAACAGTCAGAACCACTGTAACAGGGGTCTCCTCCAAATCATCAATGAGCAGCACTGATATGAAATCAACTACAGAAGGAGAGATCAATAGACTTTATCCACACCAGAGTTGGATTCGAGTGTATACAGATGGTTCAGCCAAGAGAGCAGTAAGAGACGGAGGAGGAGGAATATTCATAGAATGCCCAAATGGTTTAAAAATCAACCAGGCTGTACCAACAGGTTCATATTCCTCCAATTACAGAGCAGAGGCAGAAGCACTTCTAGCGGCATGTTCTTTCCTGAATAAACAACAGCACAGCAAATATAGCAGAGTGGTCTTTCTGACTGATGCTATGTCAGTTCTACAAGCAATTGTTAACCCAAAAGACACTCAGTTTGTAGACTGACGCAACAGCTGATTTACTTAGGCTCTTGAGTAGAACAATCTGTACTGCAGTGGATTCCAGGTCACTGTGGCTTGGAAGGCAATGAAATAGCGGACAGATTGGCCAGAAGCGGCAGTGACATGGTACAACCAAATAGCGACTTAACCCACCAAGAAATGAAAACACAATCTAGTATCCAAGAAAGGTGGCTGGATACCCACACCAGATTTTCTCCCCAGGACTCACTACATCGCCTCTCTAGAGAGAGACAGTGCATTATATTCAGACTAAGGACAGGGCACAACAGATTTCGTCAACATGTTCAAATGTTTCGGTGTAGGAAATACGGATGCTGAGCATGTGCTCCAACACTGTCAACTGTATGCTGACAACAGAGACGCAATCTGGCCTGTTCCAACCACACTGAAGACAAAACTGTATGGTACACGAGAGGATATGGATTGCATGATAGCTTTCATAAAGGCTACCGGCCTCCTGATATAAGTTTTCTGACAGAAGGATCGAAGAAGAAGAAGAAGAAGAAGAGAGCCCATCTTGCTTGGGGAAATGCCTAGGAGTGACGACAGACCTGGCAACTTCAGAAGGTGTTTATCTCCAACTTAATTTTTGTGTATGTATTTTAAAGTATATGAGGTGCCAGCCACACCTGAACAGGCGCTGTCGATACCAGAACCGACCATAAGACCAGCCTACCCAGAGCCATCTGTATCACCTGAGAGGCAACGGACCGGCAGCTATGAGTTTCCTGTCACTGTATTCCTATGGCAGACCAGTGTGGGCCAAGCAGCATTTACCACCCTGACCATACTGTTGTTAGGGAATATAATAGAAACTACTCGACAAATGAGTGGTTGCCAGAACCAAGAAAATTAGAGATGGTGCAATCGCCACATTACAAGAGAACTAACTGTGACGACATGCCTGGCAACTTCAGAAGGGGTTTATCCCCAACTTAATTTTTGTCTATGTATTTTAAATTATAGAGGAAAATGCTCCTAGATATAACCTAAATCAAGGCCATTTAGAGCAAAGCTATTTAATTTCCCTGGACTGTAGCTGATATCAAACACTCAGACTCTTGCCCAGAGGTAAAGTGTTTAGGTACAGATAAGACTGAGCAGATAGACTCAGTGGCACCAGTGAAGTGGAAAGCTCAGACATAGTGGCTGGAGGTTTTGCTTGTAGAACTAAGGTGTCATATAATTATCTCCTAGCCAGAACATTAGAAGCAGATAACAAGGGTTGACACCTTTCAGTAACATGTGTTAGCAGGTGAACTTGGACCAAGCATCAGAGCATTGGCAGGATAAAGATTGAAACAAAGGTGTGAATTCGTTTATGGTCAATGGCTAGCTTGATGGACCCTGAGAATGTAACTATGGGAATGCAAACAAGTGTTGCACAGTCCTGACTGACAGTGAATGGACAGGCAAGAGCTTTGACATCTATTGAATGAGAGTGTTTTCAGGAGTAATGCAGGAAGCACCTAGGAGAGGGTGGACTCTAGGGCTGGAAAGTAAGACTCCGCTATCCGCACATGCCATCAGCACACCATCTATTGGCTTAAATCCTAAACTTGGAGATAGAACTTGGTGGCATATTGTGTTCATTCTCCAGGTAAGCGAAACTATTTTCAACCTTCTTTTCATGATAGATATCTCAATATTCTCTTTGCTCAAGTGTGTGCACTTATTACTTTATAGTACTCCTTAGCAGACATTTCTCCATTTTCGTAGGGCACTGTCAAATTCATCTCAATTGATATTGTCATGTATGTTTTCTGTGTACATGTGTTTCAATGTATAAACTGAATACTGATGTTACCACTGAAATTTAATGAACTATCATTTTTATGAAATCCCAAGAATGAAGATTATTTTGGCAGTCTCTTACGTGTGGTTATTTTGAAACTATCTTACTTGCAGCTAATACACTGAAATGCATTCAACTCACTGGGAGGCTAATGCCAGAGACTGATCCCAGAGAATAAAATGTTTAGAATTTATATTTGATGTTGCCCTAGAAATACTGTTATCATTATGGTCATGAACATTATTTCAGGGGTTAATTCCAGAATCTATTCTGTCAAACTGAATGTCAATTTTGAGTCTGAACAAAAGAAGACGACATCAGATTTAGAGGACTCAATTATCATGACATGAGTAGAGGGAGGTAGGAAACAACTAAAATGTGAGATGAAATTCTTCCAGACTGGACAGGAGAGAATGTGAATATAAGGGAGAGATGAAATGTTTTTTTTTTTTTAGAATAGGCATGTTTGGTGTAATTCTAGATACTACACACATGTGCTTGTTTCTTTATGACAGTTCCAACATTTAATGAACTATCCTTTTTATGAAATCCCAAGTGTAATGACCCGCTTAAAGCAGCAGAGACAACAAACTGGAAAAGGATAGACAGGGTCTCAAATTAGGAACTGCCGGAGGTTTATTTAGACTTTAAAAATCTTGTTCATGTTATCATAAAATAGTTGAGTAAATTGTTGTACTTAGATTCAAGTGCCTTTGTGCATACTAGTTTACCTCAACTCACTTGATGGGGGCTTTTGTTAAAACTGAATACCAGGGGAGTGTCAAGATTCAAACTTACATCATTCAAACTACATAAGTGTATATCCATGTGAGGATGGCCACACTGGGTCAGGGTGGCTCTTCACTCACGTGAGCCTTGCAGTAAGCAAGGTTTAGGACTGTTTGATACCAAGTCTCTAATACATAGTGATGCTGATATGATCTGTGTTGAATGAGAACCAACTTTTGCCCAACAACAACTGACAGTAGACAATTTGAGAAGATGCCTGGGCCATTGAGGTTCCCCTATAAATTACTGCTCAACACGCCAACAGAAGCATGAATTCACAAACACACACATAAACAATACACTCAGTCAGGTAATACCTACCGGAGCCATCATTCCCATCTGCATCGGCATCATTGGGTTCATACCTGGCATAGCTGAAATACAACAACAGAAAACCCAATCAAACCTCGACTGCAGCAATGTAACAAAGGAAAATTCAATCAAAATACACCTTTTCACAGCAGCAATAAACAACTCAATCTAAATAAACTTATTTACAGCAGCTATGCAACAACAGATGTCTTTTCTTTCTTTTGTCGTCTCGCTGATACCAGGTTGCAGCTTTCTGTATTTGTCTTACACTTCTCGGTGGATGTGTATATCTTTTTGCAGGTTTCAGCTTCACCATTTATTCATCTCTTTCTTGGTCTTCCTCTCGCTTTCCTCCCAGATGTTCAACTGTAAAAAAAAGTCTCATATGCACCCTGGTCTGGCTGCATTCTCCCAAGATGGCTAAAACATTTCATTCTTTGTATGTCAATATAATCCAGACATGGTCTTATTTCAACATTCTCTCTAAATGCTGGTATTCGTAACACTGTCTCATCTAGTGTTGTTAGTGACCTTGCGGAGACAGCACATTTCAGGTGTTGTTATTTTCTGTTCAAGAACTGTTTGGCAATAATAACATAAAGCAGGGATAAAGATGCTATTAATCATTTGCTGTTTTGCTGGAAGGAAGACATTAGGGTGTCTTAGCAGTGGGGCTAACTGGTTGGTGACAGCATTTGCCTTTTGTACTCTGGCTTCTATCTCTCTAAGGAGTCTGCCATCCGTAAATATGCTTCTGAGATGTTTGATTTTAGTTAACATAAACATTTATGATATAATAACAATAGACAACTTAATCAAAATACACCTATTTACACCAGCAATTCACAATAGACAACTCAATCAAAATAAACCTATTTATTGCAGCTATTGCCAACAACAGATATTTCAAAGATTATCAAGAGTCATATGGTAATGACAGAATACAAGACTGTCACATGATTATGGCAGTTTACAAGACTGTCAGATGATCATTGCAGTACACAAGACAGTCGCCGCATGATCATGGCAATATACAACACAGTCACATGTCTCCCACCATAAGAAACAACCCGTGGCACTCTCATCTACGTCAACAGACAAGGACTTATAACCTGTAACAGCTGCCTCTCGATTTGTTTCCAAGAGGTGAAATTTGTCCTCCCCATTACACAAAGCCCTGGCAGTACTGTAGAGACCATATGATGCCCATGCATCATAATCCCCAGCTCGACCTGCCTTGTTTACTCGAAAGGCAACACCAGTATGTTTGGAATAAAGCTGGATACAGAATCTGCCAGATCAAAACAGCAGTGCTCTGTCTGCCTGTTGGAGCTTCCCTCCTAGACCAGCTACCAGTGAAGGCTAAGAGCCTGGTCCACGCTGCCATAACATAGTTTTCAGGTTGCGTTTTCTCTTCCTATGAAAATGCTAGTTTTCTCCCCAGTGTGCTCCTCCGTCTGAAGCCTTTGGCCCAATATTGGATGTCATGTCTGGTATAAGTGGCCCAACATTTGGCGTTAACTGAAAACAGGCAGTACCGGCTACTGTTATGCAGTAGCTCAGTAATATTTGAACAAGACCAGTTATTAAATTATTAAACTACGAAATGTTCATTTATTAATTACAGATACATTAGGCTATAAAATGTTCATTTACTACCTACTGATACATTAAACTATATGAAATTTTCACTTTTTACTTCATCATGTGCCCTGCCAAATGGGGTAGGAACTCATGCATCTCTACAGATCACGAACCCTGGTTGCTTGGAACAGCTCTCTTGGTGATTTCCCTCCATACCATCATTTCAGCCCTTCCAGCATTCTCTCTTGGTTTGCCTCTACCCTTTTTTCCACTGATCTTCCAGTTGTCATGATGTTCTCCAATGTTTCTCTTCTTATTACGTGGTCAAATAACTGTTTGTCTCTCTTTTATTGTTGCATTAGAGATCTACTTTCATTTGCTTCTTTCAAACTATTGCTAGCTACTCTGGCCGTCCAGGGTATTCATAACATTCGTCCCAGAAACCACATCCTTTTTTACTTAGACACAATCTACAAAAATGTTTGCTTACAGATATACCATCTACAGGAGATACCGCACCAGAAATACCATTTAGAATAGCACTGGCATCTAGTGCCTTCAATAAACTGTCTAACATCTGGAAATCAAAGACACTTAGCAAACTCACAAAACTCAAGATCTTCAATTCTTGTGTGATTCCTGTACTAACCTATGGATGCGAGAGCTGGAAATCAACGAAAACTTTAGACACAAAATTAGACAGTTTTGAAAATAAATGCCTTAGAAGAATACTAAATTTCAAATGGTCAGTTTTCCTAACAAATACACAAATAAGGCAAGAATCCAGGCAAGAGTATGTGTCTAATTTTATACGAAAACGCCGCTGGAACTATGTCGGCCACGCCCTTAGAATGGATAAATCAAGACTTCCTTACCAAGCCCTCATTTGGACACCACAGGAGAAAAGATCTTGTGGAAGACCAAGGGAAACTCTACATAGAACTATCATCAGGGAAGGCTCGCTCATGGGCCACTCAAACATCCAAGACCTGCAACGGATTGCAACGAACCGCCATGCATGGAGAGTCATGACCTCTGCCCTATGTGCCGCACTCGACACAAGAGGAAAGACTAACTAACAGATATACTAAACTATGAAATGTTCATTTATTACTTACAGATACTACTCATTGGTGTAAATGGATATCCTTGGGGCATTATGCGAGGGGCCATTCCCGGTAGTCCTCCTGGCATACTCATTGGGGCTCTCCCGGGGAAAGACATGGTTGAAAGCCTGAAAATATGACATTTTTAAACAAAGTTCATTTTGGTCACACATTTCATTTTGCACAAAGAAGACACAAACAACAGATTGCACAATTTATTGCCTTGCATATTTCGCTGTATCTTGTCAGGTGCATACTACAGTAACAATTACATAAATGAAGCAAATAAGTGAATCTTTTTTAAGTGAAGTACAATTTCAACAACGATCAAACATGACTGCCTGTTTGTTTTTTTACCAGGGCAGCCGTAAAGACAGAACCATTGCTTCACTAGAGTAGTCTCTTTACAGTCAAAACCTACTGGCAAGTGATTTTATGGTGATTACCAAAGATTACACTTTTGATTTGATTCAAAGGAAGTTCACAGATAGCTGGTAGGTCAACCAGACACACGTACATTATGGCAATGCAATGGATTTTTCTAATGAATACTATGGCCTGCTATATTAAGCTTACATTAGTCATTGCTGACAGAAGACAAATTAGGTGTGACACTCGCAGACTGGCTGTAGTTTTTTTTTTCTTTTCCTGATACCTTTATGAAGTATTTACAGGGAAGATGTGTGCATCTTCTATGTGCTCAGTTTGATGTGCTGTGTGAGCTGGTCTTCATTATCCAAAGATTTTCTTGACGATGATGTTATTTATGCAAGTGTTACATCACTTATGTTGTCTCCCTCTTGTCCTGTGCTTACATGGCTTTTGACAGCAGGTGACACTAGGCTATTCTTCTCAAATGGCTATATAAGTAAATCTGTTTTTTATTTAGCTGTATGGGTGGTTTCAGTCCTAGTCTTATTTATTGTTAATGTCTATCTATTCAGGTTTGATTTTATCACTAAGTATTTCTTGTTAAAGTATATCTATTTAGGTTTGATTTCGTTACTAAGTATATTGAAAACAATAGAGGTTCCCCATGTAGCCGTTGACACTAAGTAACCGAATGGCTGGTTTCAGACCTAGTCTTATCATTTTATGTTAATTATCTCTTCAGGTTTTATTTTATTACTAAGGTTACTGAAAACAATAGGGGTTCCCTCATGTAACCGAGTTGATAATGAGTATTTGTATGGCAGGTTTCAGTCCTACTCTTATCATTGCATGTTAATTAATGTCTATCTCTTCGGGTTTTCTTCTTTGCGTTTGTTTTCGTAGGCTCAGATCAGCCCATTAGGTGGGTTGCTCTATGAACTTGCATGTCAGTAGCAGGTCCTTTATGGTTCCACATAGCTTGCTTTGCACATTTTGCCCTCTAGGCTAGGTGTCTTTTTAAAGTTGTAGGTAAAGTTGGCAGGTCTGCAGAATGTGCTCAGGTGTTGGTGGTCCTGTTTGACAGGCATACGGTAGGGACTGTACAATCTTTATTTTATGCATTTCAGCCTGCAGTGTCCCTTTCATTGATGAAAAACTGTTGTATGTTGTTTTTCTGTTGATGGGGTCTTGTGGATGTTTACTGCTGGTTTGTTTGCACCACAATTTGTTGTATTTTTCCTTGATAAGTGTTCTGATTTCTGGTAATGACAATGAATTGGTGCACTGTTTCACCATTGTTCAATTTTTTTGCAAGTCTGTCAGTGTCTGCTAACTCACTTTATGGTATGCTGAGCCAGAGAAGGACTTGATTGTTTTCTGAGAGTCTGTTTAGCTGGCTGGTCAGTTATCTCTCCATGTTGTCTCGTGGATCTCTCTGAGTCGCCTGGAGGACTGACATGCAGTCAGAAAGGGAAAACAATTTTGCTGTTTTAATTTCTCTTTGAATCAATAAATGCTTGCTGCTCTGCTTAAAGTCTGTTGTGTCTTCCAAAGGCACTTGATGTTTCTACTGTGGTCCCATCTTGCAGCACGATGAGCAATCCAGCTGTCCGTATTTTTCTGCTTCCTCTAATGACCTATCGGTTTATATGGGTGTGTCCATTAAGTTTTTGGATAACAGTAGTAGACATGTTCAAGGGTCTTTGCACTAGGTCACATTATTCAGCCTTTCTGTCTATGCCTGGAACTGTTTTTGCGACAGTATAGTTAGGCTGAAGGTCTATGCAGAGAAATGCAGAGAACAACAGAGGCCACTGCTTATTGCCTTCATAGATCTCACCAACGCCTCTGATTATGTTAGCAGAAATGGTCTGTTCATGATTCTGGATAAATATGGATGCCCATCTACACTACTAAGCCTAATTTAATCCTTGCAAGAAAATATGCAGGGAAACATATGAGGATTAATCGTCTTCACCCTACCAGATTCGTAACAGAGTAAAGGAAGGATGCGTTCTGGGTCCCCCACGGTTTGGCATCTTTTTACTGCATTTTTTAGGTACTTATTCAGGACAGCCAAAGAAGAGATACACTTCTGTATGGTGTCAAGTGGCAACCTGTTTAATCTGTCTAGGCTTGTACAAGAACGAAGGTGCACATAAAATGCCTCACAAGGGATTTTCTTTTTGCAGATGATGCAGCCATTGTGGCACACACACAGGATGATCTGCAGATCCTCATGAATCGATCTGCAAATGCATGCAAAGAATTGGGGCTTACCACCAGTCTCAACAAAACTCAAGTGATGGGAATGAATGTTGAAAACCCAACAAACATTAGTGTACATGGCTGTATATCATCGTATACGAGTTTGAGTAGCTAGGCTCATGAATCTCAGATGATCATTTCCTAGATGCTCCGTAAAATATTATTTTATTAAAAAAAAATTTTTTTTAGACAAAAACACATACAGAATCCGACAGAAGACATTCATGACTATTTACTTGAGTGCTATATGAGATGAGCCATTTCAATTTTTATTATGTCATTATTTGTTCTCTATTATATCTTTGTGTTCAATTTTATTTGTGGCTATGTGTGCATGCTGTACATCCACTCTTTATAATGTAACTGTTAAGTTAATAAAATCCATAGTTCCAGACTTCACTCTTTCTCTTTGTCAGACACCACTCCTTGCAAAAGTAATCCTAGGGGTCACAATCAATTTGGGACCGTCATTCGAAAGATAGCCATGAAATCTGCAGCTAAGTGTCAGAACATGCACTCAACTTAGAAGTTGGGCGACGAAACTATATCCTTTCAGTCTACAAATGGAGCAAAAATGCAATGGCCACCGTCTGGCAGAAGTAAAAAATTTGCCACGGCTCAGAACAGTGGCCGTGCCTAGCGTCCATTTTGACCAGAGGGTAAGGGTTTGTGCTTGGGTTAGCCCTAACTCTATCTAACCCTCATCTCAAAGAATATTGAATATGAAAACATATTTTTATTATGTGAGCTTACACAAACAATGGACTACGTCCCCTGTGGCCTGCACTTACAGTAATTGTAGCTTACAATAGATGGCGTCCCTTAGGGTCGCCGTTGGAAGGAGTGCCGATGAATGAATAGTGACCACAGAAAGTCTGAGAAAGATAAATTTAAAAAAAAAGTTCTATATACAGGTTAGTAATCAGCTTCAACTGGCACTTCTCACAATTGCAAACACTGCTTCGTTATGAAGAAGAACGCATTAACAACCTGCTTGTGATGGAACACTCACCGTCTCTGGCGGTTTGTTGTAAAAATAACGTTTTAGCCTGAAACCTGCCGTGGACGAAAGCAATATGGCCGCCGCGGCACTTCTGGTGCCAGGTTTTTTCGTGTTTGACAAGTAAACATTTTCGCACAGAAGACACAAACAACAGCCAGTACAACTGATTGTCCGACAAATTTCGCTGTCCCTCGTAACTCATAGGCTCCCAGGTCGACCCAGCTTTGAGTTGGTACCAGGTAAAGTCCTATGAAGTAAAAGCGGCCGGCGTGATGATGACCACATTACCCACCAAGTGCCGTTTGGTCTATAAAATATACATCTAGACCAGTGTTGCCACTTTGGATCTGGATTTAGATGTTTCCTCTTGCATTTAGATGGTGTTTTTGACGTTTAGATGGTAGATGTTGTTCTAAATATTTTTCATTTGGAGTTAGATATTTTATAGATTTTTTTTCTTTCAGTGTCAGTTTAATAATTACAGTGTAAAATATTTACTACAATTTTTTTTTTTGGGGGGGGGGGGGGGGGGGGGGGCCTGGTACGTACATTGTGACAATTGCGATTACTTAAACTTTGAATTCTGACTGGTGTCAACGCTCAAATATCAGGCGGACCCGGTACTGATTAATTTGCTATGTCTGCCATGATACTACCCCACTCAAATGCTGAAGTGGCGTTTTCAGTGCTATGAATTATATCAAATCTAACCTAAGAAAGAGGATGAAATTTGACCTCTTAAATGCTATCTTGACAATAAAATTCGGCCTGATGACAGTAGGAAAATGCTGTTCCACTTATCAGCTCCCTGATTGTGTATTAAAAGAAATTAGAACAGCTAAAGCATACCAGAGTCATTTTGGATCTTAAGCTTCAACTTCATCATCCAAGCTAAGTTTATCCTGTGGATCTTGTTAAGCAGACATCAGTGAAGATGAGGACATGATTCTATAGGGTAAGTCATATCAATAGCTATGTAATTTGTTACTCTTTTCATTTGAATGTTTTTTTTTCTAGATGTTTTTCACTTTTAGATATTTTTTGACTGCGTTCTGGATGTCTTTTGTCAAACAAAAGTGGCAAACTGATCTAGCCCTCTATACCCAATACGCTTGAAAGGCGTGAAAAATGGTCCTTTACTTTTACTCGTATCTCTTATCTCGTCAACTATATAATACAGAAACAATTCAATAAATCCAAGCAAATAAGTAATTTTTTTTTTGTAGCTGAAGTACACATTCAATCACTCTCAACAGCAAATGTGTGATTTACAAGGCGAGGCAACAGGTTTCACCTTCAACCTAGAAAAAGTCAAGTAAGTTTCATGTGTTTTATACCAGTCTTATGGTTCAACCAGGTGGCCACAGCCTACTGCTGTGCCGCCAAAAATGTCTGCTTAATTATGTCGCAGGATTGGGGTAGGAGGGGAGGGGGGGGGGTAGCTTTTCTCTTTCAGCAAAAATGTTTTCCTAGTA